TCTCCATCCTCAAAACCATCTCCATCACCAAGACCACCATCTCCACCACCACAACCATCCCCACCACCATCTGCACCACCACTGACATTTTCATCATTATCACCACCACCATCATCACCGTTGCCATCATCAGCTTCACGAGCATYACCATCACCACCATCATCAACATCAAAATGTCCTGATGCTGGGTCTGTACTAATGAACTTCAGAATAAGGGGTGCTGATGGCAGATACTKGTACCGACTCCCCAGATGGACAGCCCTGCTTTCCCACATTTGAGTTCTGCAAGCCACTTGCTCCTTCTGAAGAAGCCTTCCAGTTGTCAAGCCCCACCGTCCCCAACTCCCAACATTCCCGTCCACTGTCCTAATGCAAATTCTCTTGCTGGTTAAYCATCTTGGAGGCCACAGAGCATAGTGTTTAGACCTGCAGACACTGGCGGCCCAGGGCTTGGGTTTTAGATTTTGGTCCCCGATGGCTAACTGTGTGGCCTTGGGAAGGTCATTTAATCTGTCCCTGCCTCGGTTTCCTCCTCTATAAAGCAGGAGAACAGATCCACTGGGCACCAGCAGAGGACACCCACTCTGCTGTTCCGAAAAGGTCCTCCATTCTTCAATGTGAACCCATGGAAAAACCTGGCAAGTCCTACAAAGAGAAACAGCCACAGCGAAGACGAGCAAGAGCAAGACAGACTGACGCCTGAAGACAGAGAAGCAAGAGCCRGCCGGGAGGGGAGGGGTGTCACGTTTCCTGCCTCAGCACAAATGTCAGTCCTGGGAAAGATCCTTCCTGAATCCCTCAAAGTCCCATTCTGGTGACAGCTGCTCTCCTGGAGCTTACCACCACCTGGAATGCTTTCMCTCACAGACTCTTGGTGGCAAATCTGGCTCCAGATGGCCTGCCCTGGCGTCCTCGCAAGCCCCTGTCTTGGGCAGGTTATCCCCACTCCTTCGCCCTAGTTCCCCCCTTTGTAACGGGGCAGGGGGGGGCTGACAGGGTGGCCCAGCAACGTGGGGGTCTTGTGGAGACTGCGTCCTGTGTTTGTGGAACCTGGAATCCCTGCTGTCACTCTTGGTGACTCTTCCGTCCATCCCCCAGCAGTGCTTCAGATGTGGGAGCACAGGTCTGCTGCTGCGTGCCTGGTGCCCACAGCAGCACCGGGCTGCAGAGGAGTTGCTCGGGAAACTCATGTCACACAAGCAACCCTGAGGACGGAACTCCCTGGGTCCGGGCTTTTTTGTCAAAGGTCCCCAGGAAGGTGTTTGCAGCATTCCATCCTGGAATCGCCTGGCTCTGCCGGGCCCACCGGGGCCCTCCCGTTTCCCGGTGACCATTCCCAGCCTCACCTCCACCACCTCTCCCCCAGGGATCCCACGCTCACCCCAGAAGAGGAGCACCCCGACTCTCCACATGGTGCTGCTGCTCTGCCCGTCGAGGAGGGAGCCCTTGGTTAGCTCTTCTGGGGGAAACGAGGAGGGCAGGCCCTGGTTGCCCAACCCTGCCCCAGCTTCACCGCCTTTCTGCTGAGTTGCTGCCAGCAAGAGGCTGATTTCCCCTTGAACTCAGGAGGATGTGCTCCCCCCCTTCTCCTTTGTCTCTCCCTCCCCCACTTCCTCTCCTTCCCTTTCCCTTTCTCTTTCTTCCCATCAACGTCTCTCTCCCCTCCCTCAGCACCTCCTTCCACGGCACCCAGGACAGAAGCACCCACCTCCTGCCCCGAGGAAGCAAACCCCCAGCGTCAGGCTCCGTTCATTCCCAGCCTTGGCCACAGCGCAGTCCTGGAATCGAGGCACSGGGCATCACGTCCACCTGGTACAGGGGCATCCCCCTCCACCACAGGGAACCGAGGCTGCAGAGGAGACGCCACTTCTCCACCCAGACCCAAGATTTGAACCCAGGACCCGCAGACTCCAGAGTCTAGAGCTTTGGCCATTCCTTCTTTTGTCCGCTCCCCAGGCCCTGGTCACCGTGTAGTGACAGCCCCACACCATTCCCACCCCCCAATCCCAACACACGGGCCATCTTGTAAATAGGGGGCTGGTTGTATATGGTCAGGGACCCCAGATTCAGGCCTTGAGAAAGGGGTTATAGAGAAAGCAGAGAGGAGACCCCCAAAATGCCAACTGGAGAGCCGGGAGTGAGACAGGAGGGAAAAGAGGGGGGGGGGTGTCATCAGATGTGTCACCGCCACCCAGCCACCCAGCCGGGCTTCGAGAGGCAGCACCAACCACGGTGCCCTCATGGGGGCGGCTGGGTGTGGCCCAGTGGTAAAGCACTGGCCTGGCATGCAAGGGCCCTGGGTGTGGCCCCCAGCACGCAAAGGAGAGAGGAGAGAGAGAGAGAGAGAGAGAGAGAGAGAGGAGAGGGAAGAAGCTGGGGGCCACACACTGCTGCCGCTGGGCTGAGGCTGGCTCCCAGCAGGCAGCAGCTCGCGCCACCTGGCCCCCGGGCAGCCATCGGGCTAGGAATGACATGGCGTGACTGTGAGATGTCCCGTGAGAGGGGACTGAGCTCTCCAGGGTCCTGGGGGGCTCAGCATCTGCTGCGAGCTACAGAAGAGGTGGGAGACCACGCAGAGCCCTGGGGAAGGAGACCCTGCTGGCTTCGTGGGCCGCCTCTTGCCCTGGGCACGGCAGTGATCTCAAAGCCACTCCTGTCTGTGCTCCAAGGCACCCGTCTGTCAGGCTGCTGCAAGAGCCAGCATCAAAATACAGACAACTCCACCGAGGAGGAGACAAAGCGCTGCGTCGTGGTTTGCAGACACTCTGGAGGATGAACTCAACGCCGGATCCACCCAGCAAAGTGCTGAACTCGTGGCCTGGCRGGCGGCCGTAGAGTACACTCAATAATCAGTGTGGCTCTGGTCCGAGGGCAGGCACGGGGCTCTCACTCCCGACACCTGGGAGAGGCAGGTTGTTCTCCACACTCGCTGGAGAGGAGCCAGAGGTGGGGAATCCAGTCTGACCCAGGCTGGGATCAAGGGCAGGACCTCCCAAAGGAGCTCATGTCTAAACCGAGGCCTGAGGAACGTACAGAAGTCAATCGAGCTCAGCAGGAAAGATGGTGCAGGGAGAAATACAAATGCACAAGAGCCGTGAAGGGAAGCTACCCCCTGAGAGGGGACTAGCACAGAGCTCCAGGGGTCCTTCTGTGCCACAAGAACTGCAGCCGTTAATTAAAGAGATAGTGGACGTGGGGCAATGGGGCTAAACAAGACAGACAGACACACATAGGGACAAAGGCCGGGGCAGGTGGTGGCCAAGACCCGTGGGGCTTTCCAGACTCCGAGTTAGCTCAGCCAGTTTATCATACAGGTTCATCATCAGAAGGGTCACTGTGGGAAAGCTTCAGCAAAGCAGGCGATCTGAAGGACGCGGGATGGTGAGACACTAGGGTCATCTTCTTTGGCTCAGAATTCACCATCCCTGGGAGAAGATGCTGAACTCCAGGCCCCGACTGGTCGAGCCACACTTTCCCAGGTTGCCACCCCTGGTCAGTGTTACCATAGCAACCGGGGCATCTTGACCTGCACCTTTGCACAGGCAGCTCCCAGYGCAAACGCAGCCACGGTGGTCAGAGAGGCCACGGTTTAGATCCCCACTCTCCACACTTCTGCTTCCTCTAGGCAGACMGCCTTCTCTGGATCAGCGGGTCCTCAGCCCTGGTCTATCTGGAATTTTCCCTTCCTTGAACGGAGATGAGAGATCTCTTTGTTGTTATTTCTTTTTTAACTGCCAATAAAAGTGGTATGTATTCGTGGTGAGCGACAGAGTGCTCCTAAATGTGCGTGCGTTTTGGAGTAGCTGCATTGAGCTAAGCAACGTGTCCACGGACTCTCTTGCATGCTATTTGTGGGGCTGAGCCGTCTTCGAGCGCACAACACATGGCTATCAAGTGCAGTCACCCTGTTGAACAACAGACCCGGGAGCTCATCCCTCCTGTCTAACTCACTCCTGCTGGCTTCGACCAACGTCACCCTGACGTCTGTTCCCCCGGCTCCGTGTCTTTTTAAGATGCTTCTGATGGTCTGAGGCTGAGCAAAGGGGAAGGTCCCAATGTGCACATAGTCACAAGGAGACTAAAGAAGAAGAGTCCCCCAGATAAGCATCATCTCAGCAGAAGCCACAGATGCATGCGGCTGCTCCCCCCACCTCCCCTCTCCCGCCATTATCAACCCCACTAGCTCCTCTTTGGGAAGTCTGCCAGGCACCGTGTGTGCTTCCTCCTACAGTCTGCTTAAAAGTCTCCAGGAGTGCAGACCTCAAGGCAGATAGATCAATGTGATGGTTTTAAACGTGTCCACAAATTCTTCAATACCTCTCCTTTCAAGCATTTGTACCAATCCTTTACTCGAGCTGACTCACCTCTAATGAACAGAAAAAGGAAGATGTGACACTGTGTGGCCACTGAGCCTAGGTGAAATCGGCCATGTGGCTTCCTCCTTGCGCCCTCCTTCCAGGAGGGAAAGCCAGGGCCATGTTGTAAGAACCGTCGAGCAGAGCTGTGGAGGGACCCAGGGGGCTTACTTCATTTTGTGTTGCTATAACAACTAGCTGAGACTGGAGACTTTATCAAGAAATGAGGTTCAGTTGGCTCACAGTTCTGAGGTCCAAGAGCTAGATCTGCTCAGTGAGGGCCTCATGGTGGACACCATCACGGTGGTGGAAATGTGTGCAGAAGAGGTCAGGTGGCAAGATAGAGAGCAAGAAGTGGAGAAGGGCCAGGCTTGATCTTTTTATAAAAAACTGTTCTCACAAGGACTGACTCAGTCCTGTAGGTCCTGCATTAATCCCTTCTGAGGTGCAGCTCCCAAGACCTAATCACCTTCCACAAGCCCAACTGAGACAGGAGAGAAGGGCCCAGGGCCCGGCAAGAGGTGCTTCTCCTCCTCCATCCCTGACAGCTCTGGCTGCTCCCAATGCCCCTGGGCGGGGGGCGGGGAGGGGGTGTGGCTCAGGGACGTTTTGCTTTGGCTGCAGTGGCTTTGGGTCCCTCCCAGGTGACTCTGCCCCACAGGCTGTCGGCAGGACTCTCCCCTCTGCAGCCGCTCCAGCTGTCCCCAGTCCCCTTCATGAGGGCACCTCCCCTGCCCACTGCGGCTGGGACAGGCAGGCGCGACTCAGCAGAAAGGCCGCGGGAGGCTGTGATGTGCCCAGGCCACCCCTCCTCGCCACAGAGCCAGCAGCCTTCTCAGTCACACTGGGTCCGTCTGGGACCCCACCCGTGGGCTGCCGCAAAAGCCACYGGATCCTTGTTCAGATGAGTTTCATGGCCCATGCGGGACTCCTGCCCCCAGCACAGCAGGCGGAGCTGGCCGTCCTGGGAGCTGGTGAGGCCAAGGCCACCGACCTGCCGAGAGCCCGCGGAGCTGGTACTGCCTCGGGGGGCTGCAGCAGTGGGGATCCACGCAGAGCGCGCAGAGCTCCCCAGCCTCTGCTCTGAAGCGCTCCAGAGAGCCAGGGCCACTGGCATTCAGGGCTCAGGGCTGCTGTCACTAGGGCAGATGCACTGGGCCTGTTCGTAATTTCTATCCCAATTAAAAACAAAAAAACCTCAGCCGATTGGTCACACCACCTCCACGTTGGCCCAGGGGACCCAGCCTCCAACACGTGCACCTTTGCAGGAGACGCTCAGACCACACCCATGTGAGGAGGAACGGAGGCCTCCAACCAAGAGCCACGATGGGGCAGCTGGACCCCCGTGTCCGAGAGCCCCTGGGCCTCTGTTGTAGACTGCTAAGTTTGGGGGCAAGAGCTGGCTGACACACCTACCCGAGGTTTCTCCTTGTAGAATAAGGATGACGTTGTGTCTGCTTCCCAGGGTGAGGCTGGGTGCAAGGCAGCTGTAAACCCCTGGTGGTCACAGATGGGGTGCTGTGTCATGGTGGTCATGACTGTCATGCTTGTTAGACAGAATCATTGTGTCAGGTGGTCACTGCTCTTCGTGGAAGCAATCCTGCCAAAAGTTGAATTGTAGAAGTCAGCAAAGTCCATATCACACAGGACCTTGTACCACGGCCCGGAGGCTTTGGATTTCATCTTCAGGACAATAGAAAGGGGCTCAGTTAGGGAGTCGCAGGCTCAGGCTGGTATCTCACGACGACTCTGGTGTCATGTAGGGTGGACACGGGACAGGATGGGATAATGACTGGGGAGACAGGACGGGAGGAGGAGTGTAGGGGGTGGAAACCACGGAGTGGGAGGGTTGCCTGGATTCAGGGCGGAGAGTCTGAGACAGAGGAGGAATTGAAATGTAAAAGGTGAACAAAGAACAGCAAGTTTTCTAGCCAGGGCCAGCAGCTCTGGAGGGAGGCTGAGGCAGGAGGATCCCAAGTTCAAAGCCAGCCTCAGAAACTTACAGAGACCCTAAGCCACTCAGCGAGACCATGTCTCTAAATAAAATATAAAACAGGCTGGGGATGTGGCTCCATTGTTAAGGGCCCCTGGGTTCAAGTACTTAAAAAAAAAATAGCAGTTTTTGTAATCAATCCCACATTCCTTCTGGGGATGGAGATGAGATGAAACCATGGATGAGCTTCCTACAGTGGCTGTAATGAATTGCCCCAAACTGGGCRATGTAAGAAAGTATAAATGTATCATTTTGCTGATCTGGAAGTCAGAGACCTAAGTGAGTCCCATAGAGCTGAAATCCAGGTGTCCACAGGCTGCATCCCCCAGAAGCCRTCTGGGAGAATCCATTCCTGTCTTTTCTAGTTCTTGGGGGCTGCCTTGGCTCACAGCTCCTCCAGAACCAGCAGAGCTTCTTCCAACCCCTCCTGCCCCCAACTCTCCTGCCTCCTTCTAATAAAACCTTGTGATGACTTTGGACCCCCATAAGATCCAGGATGATGTCCCCGTCTGCTAGGAGCCACAGCAAAAGTATTATGATACATGGCACCTTTGGTTTAGGTGACTGCCAGCTAGCCATTGAGATGATATGATTATGTTAAGCTTTACATTCATATGGAAATTGGACTCCTGCTGTTCACCTCGGCCTGTTACGGGACTCATGTTACTCATGTCACTCATGTAATGGGAGAGTTCCCATTGGTTGGGGAAGGATAGTAGGAGGGAACTTCCAGGGGAGGTCCGGGCGCCGGGTTCCAGTGAGACACGTGGGTCCACCGGCTTGCTAGCAGGGCACATGGGACGCTGGCAGCTTTTTTAAATAAAGCTTTGTTTCCTGCTTCAGCGGTTCGTGTTTCTGTGCCCAGCCGGGTTGCSGCACCCGTCTCAAGATCTGCAATGAGTCCAGCCTCCAACGTCCCTCTTGCCGTGGAAAGGAACATACCCTCAGGTTCCGGGGACAAGGTGTGGAGGGGGAGGGGCATGTGATTCTCCCTCCTGGGGACGCGGGGGCGGGGGGKGCAGGGGGTTCTTGGATGCTGAATAACGGAGGACAGGAAACTCCAGAGACCTTTCAAACCCAAAAGAGGTCAGAAAGGCCGTGAAGCCCGGACGGCAGCCCTGCTGGAGGGATCAGAGCCGAGAAGGGGAAGGACCGCAGGACGGGGAAGAGGAACGAGCAGGCAGAACCTAACCCTGTAACTTTCTCCGGGAAGGGAGAGCACAGGACACTCGGGGTTGAGATGTCACTCTCTGCCACGCCGACTACGACTACGACTACGGGAAGGGTCAGGGAACTTGGGGGCCTCGCCACGCCCCTCCTGTACTCTACACTCTCCCAGGACTTCCGTGACCTCCAGGACGGGGGRCCACCTCATGAAGGTGGCCGCAGGCCCTCCCTGGGCTCACAGGTTTCCCACCTTCCCTCGCTGCCCCCTCCCCTTAGTGTAGCCATCCCCAGGCAGCTGAAGTGTCCCTCCGGTGCACCGTCTCCGGCCGCTGTGCCGGGGCCTGCTGTAGCCCATGGCTCCCCCTCGTCCAGAGGTGACCTCAGCTCAGCAGCTGCACGAACCCTCAGCCCAGCTCACGGCCGACAGYGGGTGACCACGGAGGTGCCCAGGCCAGCCCCTGGCCCCCAAGGTGCCATCCGTGTCCCTGTGGAGTCAGGGTGGGTCAAGGCTCCCGCCGAGAGCAGCTCCTCCCCCAGCTCTGTCCTCGTCCTGCGCTGGCCTGTCCCTGCTCCTCTCCTGCCCAGGCCTCCCCCAGTGGCCCCCTGTGGGAAGCCCCTGGGAGCAGGAGGCACGTGGTCCCACCTCTGAAAGGAGCCCTCCTGTGTGAGTCCCACCCCACAGGAAGCCTTGCTGGTCCCCTGCCCCTCCTGTCCCAGAGCGCCAGTCACCTGTGCCTTCTGCAAGTCCGTATCCCCCCAAGACTGCAGCCTCCTCGGGGCGTTGGAGAACATCCTCCACCATCCTCCCCTGGAAGATGAGAGTCTGAGGAGAAGACAGAAAGCAGCAGGGGGCTCCCCCCCCCGACCCCTTCCCGGCCCCCAGCCACCCCCAGGAAACCAGGACTGGGAGCCGGCGGGAGAGGAGCAGCAGCTGGCGGGGAGGGACAGAGGTCGCCAGAGGGAAGTGGCCCTGGGGGGACAAAGCCACAGTCTCCCGAAGGGCTCAAGGGTGTCCGTGGCTCCTAAGCCTCTCGGAAGGCGTCAGGTGTCGGTCAGGGGCCCCAGGGACACTTGGGTTCAGCGACTCTTGGAAGACCCGGCTGCCRTCCTGCCCACGGCTGTGAGTTGCTSCAGCAAAAGGGACACACARCTGTGGACAGCAGAGCGGCAGGAGGGAGCCAGGAGCGTCCAGGGCCCTCTCCCGGCAGAGCTCACGGGGCACAGCCAGGTCCCAGGACTCAGGGGGAGGGGCAGGAGCTCRGCAGAGGCTCGGTGCTCTAGGCTCTGCCCAGAAGGAAGCCGGTGTTCGCCCCAGCTGCCTGGTTCTCACAAAAGGCACCGTCACCGGGAGCATCCTCGGGAGTGCTGGTGCCAGCCACCCCAAACCCAAACTCCCAGGTGCCACCAGGAGCCCGCTGTGGTGTGACACTCGATCCAGGTGGAGCATGACCAATCAGAACAGGCACCCGCTGTGGTGCTGAGGGCACCCACCCCTGAGTGGCAGGATTGTGAGAGGTCGTGGGACAAAGGTCGGACGTGGGGTGGACYTGGCCACGACCAGCTTCCATCTAGAGCAGATGTTCAGCCTGTGCTTTTAAGGCCTTCAACTGATCAGGCGAGGCTCGCCCACACGATGGAAGATCATCTACTTAAACTGACTATAAATGCTTCTCAATGCGTTAAAAATGCGTTAGCCGGGGCTGGGGTTGCAGCTCAGTGGTAGAGCGCTTGCCTTGCATGCGTAAGGCCCTGGGTTCAATCCTCAGCACCACATAAAAATAAATCGATTAATTAATTAAATAAAGATATTGTGTTCATCTACAACTAAATAAGAATATTTTTCTAAAAAATATGAGTWAGCTGGGTGTGGCGGCGCACACCTATAGTCCCAGCCACTCAGGAAGCCTCGCTGCACCCACTGTGGCCTGAGGACAGGGGGTCACATGAACTCAGAGGTTCAAGACCAGGGTGAACAACAGGGAGACGCCCCATCTCAAACATAAATTAACAAATCCCTCACTCTAGTTTAGCATCCTAACACATGGACCATGGCAGCCTCGGTTCCTGAGATTCCAGGAAATGCACCCCGTGGGCGGTTGAGGGGAGCAGGTCTGATGGCCTGGGCTGGCGGGGAGGAGGGGGGATCACGAGGGACCCAGAGACCCGGGGACCCCGAGGTGTTTTGTGTTTTGTTGTAGCTGTGGTTGTCAAGAGTCGTCAACACCGATACTGCAAGGGATGCGTTTCATCACGCACCCGCTGCTCCGCGACCACGTTGACAAGGTCACTCCGAAACCAAGAGCGCCCMCTCTTCTGCCAAATGGTGTTAGTGCGCATTCTGCGTTAAACGGCTGAGTGYGTCATTGTGCATGTGTCGGAAAGGGCCGGATCAGGTCGGGTTTTTTTTCATTTTTAATTGACATCGACTATGTGTACCTATTTGTGGGGTCGGGATATGGTAAATAATTCAACAGGCACCAAACCCTTTGTGTTTCTCCAGTGAAATGTGGCCTCTTAAGCTTGTTTTCCAATGAAGTCGGTCTCATTGCACAACGGTAAATAATATTAAGAAGCTCAGCGATAATGTAACCATGGACTTCCTTAAAAACTCAATTAAAAAAAAAAAAAAAAAACTTGTGCAATTTCAGTTTCCTGACTGCATCCTGATTGATTAGAAATGGGTCTGGGGAATCCTGCGGCCTTGCGGGTCTGAGCCTGGCCGCCTCTCAGGCCTCCCCAGGATGCTGCCGCAGGCCGGGTGCTCCGCCCGCCTCTCCCACTGCGCAAGTTTCTGCCAAGACCTCTCTACCAGCTCCGAGCTGCAGCGAGAGGAACTGCTACCTTCCACCCACCTCCGACGCCACCAGAAGTCAGAAGAGGATGTGGAAGTAGAGAGGGCGAGGGAGAAAGTGGAAAATCATCATCTCTGCTCCCGACAGTGGGGTCCCTGACCCCAGGGGTCAGTGGATGACGGATGGAGAGAGAGAGAAGTAGATAGACAGGGACTGGAGTTGTGAGCCTCAAGGTCTTTCACATTTGATGGTGTCATTAACGTGACTAGGGGGTCACGCCTGGTCTTTGGACACCAGTTCTATTTTTTCCACATTCAGATGCAGGGTTCCAGGCCTGGGGGGCGGGGGAGGGACACAATGACACACCCCTGGGAGGAAAGCCCACCCAAATGAACTGCTGGAGGCTGGAGAGTGGGGGGAGGCCCAGGGGAGGCGCCCACCCTGCTGGACTCTCACCTCCAGGTTCTCACAGTGATCAGCAGAGAAAAATGACCTCCTGCTTCTGGCAGAGGAGAAGGAAAGGAATCCTCTAGAACACGTCGCGGCACTCTGCTCTTCTTTCTAACTGACGGAGAATTAACTGCGCGTATTGATGGCACATGGCGTGATCCTKTGATCGATGCTCAGGATGTGCCACGATGGGGTCAGGGTGTTYGACACTTCTGTCTCCTGAAACCCTTGTCATTTCCGCTTGTTGGGGAACTGCTCATGGTTAGGAACAAGGGCACTCCCATGACTCAGGCAGGAGGCAGGAAGTGAACCAGGGGTCAGCAGGCTGCCCTTCATTCAGTGTTTAGTGGCAGAGTCGATCAGTGGAACCCGGCGGCAGGCTGAAGCAAGGGCCTGGTCTATAAAGGCTTCATTTAGGGTGGGACAGGAGGGCAATTCCTGGGGTCCTTTATATTGGGGTCCTGCTGACCCATTAGGGTGGGACAGGAATGTGAACRGGGAATTCCCTGGGGCTTCTGGTATTGGGGTCAGGTGACCCATTAGGGTGGGAGTCAGGTGCCAGTCCCGTGGAGTCCCTTTTGTGTCCCTCTCTCTGGCTGAGGCCTGGGATGGAAATGGCAAAGGTTCCGGGGAAATGTCCTTGGACTTATTGTCCGTCTCCCTCACAGACCCCCTCTCTTCTAGTTTTGTGAACTATTTTGTAAATGGCCGTCGACTCCGGTGACATTGCTGGGCTGTGGGACCCCAGAGCCAGTTCCTCCCACCCAGCTCTTTGGGTACCAGCCACCAGCCTCCCTCTCCCTCTCCCTCCCCCGTCCGGCCTCCCCTGACCACGGCTCTCCTTCTCCTCCTGTGAGATGGAGCTTGTAGCTTTCCTCCTCGGTCCGAGCATCGGCTTCTCAAGACCTGCCTCGGGAGGGCCTCGGGTTCACCAGAGCCTCACCTGGGGGACTGGAGCCCACCTGATCCGGGGGAGGGAAGGCCAGCTCCAGCCCACGCCCGCTGTCTTCTCCCGCCTGGAGGGAGAGGGAGGAGTGACGTCCACAGCGGGCTGCAGGCTCACTGGACAAGCTTCCTGGCCCCACAGACCTCACCGCCACATCAGGAAGGCCGAAGGCCGAAGGCCGGCTGAGAGAAACRCTCCTGACCTAGAGAATCCAGTCTGACTGCCGAGAACTACAAGGCCTACTAAAAGACAAAACCACACCCAGTTCAGAGACAGAGAACGAGCCTCAGACTGAAGAACACGGAAGGTAAGTCCAAGGACACTCTCCCTAAGCTTTTGTCATTTAATATCCCAGGCCTCAGCCAGAAGAAAGATCACAAAAGAAACCTGTACCTGACTGGCACCGAACCCCCATCCTAATGGGTCACCTGAGGCCAATACAATAAGCCCCAGGAAATTCCCTATTCACATTYCTGTCCCASTCTAATGAATCAGTAGACCCCAATCCCATGGCAATTGCCCTCCTGTCCGACCCTAAATGAAGCCTACATAATCCAGATCCTTGCGTCAGCCTGCAGTCATTTTCTGCCCAGTAAATGAACAAAGGACRGCCTGCTGATCCAAGGTTTGCTTCCCATCTCYCACCTTCRTCACRTGTGCATGGTTTGTCCTAACAAGAACCAGACATGGCAACTTCCAGTACCTCAGAACATGATTATATTTGGAGACAGGGTCTTCAAAGGGATGATTAAGTGACAAGAAGGTCTTAGGATGGACTATAATCCACTTGACTAGTACCACAAGTAGAGGAGATTTGGACATGGACACCTACATGGGGGAGAAGACCATCTAAAACCCAAAGAGAAAGGCCCAGAAGAAATCCATCATGTTGGTCTCAGTCTTCCAGCCTCCAGAACCATGACAAGATACATCTTTGTGATTCAAGCTGCACAGACTGAGGTGCTGAATGCCTGCACAGCGCCTCTCCATGTGGCTTGGGCTTCCTCACAGTATGGCATCCCAAAGTATCAGTCTTCTTCCAAAGAGACTTGAGGATGCCAKCGGGGGGCAAGAAGCCCGTGGGTTGTTCCCTCCTCTGACAGTTCAAGCCTGGAACTTACCCCAAACTCTGTCAATCAAGCAAGCCATAAAGACCAGTCAAAACTCAAAGGTGGGGGAATGAGTGTCAACCTCCTAGAAAGAAGAGTCGGAAAGAAAATTCAACCATCTTTAATAAATCACAGACCCAGACTTACCAAGCGCCTTCCCTCCCCACATCCTCTTCTCCTGCTGCTCCCTCTGCCTGAAACACATTGTTCTCCCGTGGTTCATTTCTAGGATTCACCTGGATATGAACTCAAATACCAGAAAAGCCCTCTCTGGTCACCTGACCAACAATAGCCACTCAACACCACCAAGTCACCCTCTAGATTGCATTTTAAAAATATGGATTCAGCAATCTCTCGCACACATGGGGGTATATTCCAAGACCCCCAGTGGTATCCAAAACCTTGGAAAACATTGAACTCTGTTGGACTCTGCTTTTCCCATAGGTGCAAACTCTGATGAAGATTAACTTGTGAATCAGATGAAGTAAGAGATTAGTAACCATAGCTAATAATAAAATACAACTGTCACATATAATGTAATAAAGTTAAATGAATATGATATCTCTCTCTCTCTCTCTCTCTCTCTCTCTCTCTCTCTCTCTCTCTCAAAATATTGTATACATGTTTTTGGATCACAGCTGACCATAATTAGAACTTCAGAAAGTAGAACTACCGGCAAAGGAGGGCAATGGTATACACACAATAAAATGCCATTCAGCCTCTTCAAAAATAAAGTCTTGGTCATGCATGCCTGTAATCCCAGCTTCTCAGGAGGCTGAGGCAGGAGGATTGCAAGTTCAAAGCCAGCCTCAGCAAAAGTGAGGTGCTAAGCAACTCAGTGAGTCTCTGTCTCTAAATAAAATACAAAATAGGGCAGGGGAGGTGGCTCCAGTGCCCCGGAGTTCAAACCCTGGTACACAAAAAATTTAAAAAAAAAAAAAGTCTTATCACCATGACCAAGTGATGAGTTTGAAGGATGTTGTGAAGCAAGCCCAGYCACAGAATGGACAGCACCACAGGATCTCGCTCCCCTCTGGACTCTAGAGCCACTAAGCTCAGGACCAGAAAGTGAGGCCAGTACACATCCAGTTCAGAGGCAATCTTGGGGGGACTCTTTCCCATCTGTGTGGGCTGACCCACAGATGCGGACCATGGATAAAGAGGGCTCACTGTGTATGCAATTTTTGCTTGTCAATTTTAAAACATGGACAATTAGACGGACACCTCCTGGTCTGTGTTAGGGTAGCTGGTGCAAATGTCCAGGAGAGACCCAGCTCTGAGTCAAGCAAAGGTTTACTGACAGAGAATATCGGCCAGGCTGCCCTTCTGCCAGGTGCAGCAGCCTGCACAGGGGAAAACTTCTTAACTATAGAGTCAAGTGCAATGGAGTACTTGAAAAATAACCTGTCTGGTCCCGTGGTTGCTACCCAATGTCTTTGCTGTGGTTTCGGTAGTCAGGAACTTCTTCAGGGTGGGCCTAATGGGAAGGTGGGGTGGTGCCGATTTTCAAAAAGGAGTTACTTTGGCCTGGGGACCTCACATTCTGTTACTGTTTCATTTCTCTCCGTGGAGCTTGTCTCTAAGTGAACTCCCCCTGAGGCCACGTCCTTGCCCAGCGGCCTCCTCTGCCCCTGGCGGCTCCTTGTGGCCTGAGTGTCCTGGGTCCCAGGAAAATGCAAATTCCAGATGCTGTCGGCGGGAGGCTGATGCCACGTGGCTCGGCCGCTAGAGGGCAGCACACACCTTCAGATGGGCGCTGCGGGGTCACTCCGCGGAAAAGCTCTCCCAGACCACGGTCCAGGGAGACCCAGCGTGCGGGACCGCTGGGGACAGGCTTCAGGGGGATGCAGGGTCCCGCGAGATGCGACTGGTCCTTACATGAAAATCCGCCCCGTGCCTGTCTTCATCGCCTGGCAGTCCACACTAGGGAGTCATTCCTCTGGATAAAAGCAATTCTTTTCTTTAAAAACAGTAACAACAAAAAATTGTCCAAGGAAGAAGACCCGTCAGGCCACAGCGAAGGGCCCGGGGTAGAGCCCC